GTCATGTCATTTGGACTGACTAACGCCCCTACCTATTTCATGAGCATGATGAACAAGGTATTCATGGAATATTTGGATAAGTTTGTTGTGGTATTCATTGATGATATAATGGTATACTCGAAGAATGAAGAGGAGCACAAGGAGCATTTGCGTTTAGTTCTCAAGAAACTCAGGGAACACCAGTTGTATGCCAAGTTCAATAAATGTGAGTTTTGGTTGAAGGAAGTTGGATTCCTTGGACATGTTATATCAGGAGAAGATGTAGCAGTAGATCCCACCAAGGTCCAGTCAGTCACTGAATGGTTGGCACCCACTTCAGGTAGCGAGATCCGCAGTTTTCTTGGACTCGCAGGATACTATCGGAGATTCATTGAGAATTTTTCCAAAATTGCGAAGCCAATGACGGAGGTATTGAAGAAGGATACCAAATTTAAATGGATAGAAGAATGTGAGGCGAGTTTTCAGGAGTTAAAGAAACGTTTGACTACAGCCCCAGTGTTGATTCTGCCGAATATACGTAAGGAGTTTCAAGTGTATTGCGATGCCTCTCGCATAGGACTTGGAAGTGTGCTGATGCAGGATGGAAGAGTTGTTTCGTATGCCTCACGACAACTGAAACCGCATGAGTTAAATTATGCCACTCATGACTTGGAGTTGGCTGCCGTAGTGCATGCGTTGAAGACTTGGAGACATTATCTTATTGGAAACCATTGTGATGTATACACTGACCATAAGAGTTTGAAGTACATTTTCACACAGAAGGAGTTGAACCTTAGGCAGAGGAGATGGTTGGAGCTTATAAAGGATTATGACATGAAACTTCACTATCATCCAGGCAAGGCCAATGTCGTAGCAGACGCTTTGAGCCGGAAGAGTTATGCCAACACACTCATAAGCGCAGGATTGCCAAAGGAGTTGGCGGAGGATCTCAGGGAACTTCGATTGGAGATTGTCCCTAGAGGTTTTGTTGCAACAATGGAGGTTCAGTCTGCATTGTTAGGAAAGATTCGAGAAGCTCAGAAGGATAACAAAGAGATCGCCGAGATAAAAGAGAGAATGAGCAAAGGAAAGGCCAAAGGTTTTCGTGAGGATGAACACGACACCTTGTGGTTTGAGGACCGTGTTTATGTGCCCAATAACACAGAGATCAGGAAGTTAATACTTTAGGAGGCTCATGACTCACCATACTCGATTCACCCCGGAAACACCAATATGTATGTGGATTTAAAGGAGCGTTTCTGGTGGACTGATATGAAGAAGGATATTGCCGAGTATGTAGCTGTGTGTGATGTATGTTAGAGAGTGAAGGCAGAACATCAAAAGCCAGCCGGATTGTTACAACCTATGCCGATACCCGAATGGAAGTGGGAAAAGCTTGGCATGGATTTTATCACCGGATTGCCCAGGACCAAAATCAGGATATGCGGATTCAAAACACAAGGAGGTAGCCTATGAAATCGGAGATAGAGTGTATCTTCGAGTATCACCACTCCGAGGAGTTAAGCGCTTTGGAGTTAAGGGAAAACTAGCGCCACGCTTTGTGGGACCATACAGAGTTTTGGAACGTATGGGAGAGGTTGCTTATAAGTTGGAATTACCCGAAGGATTGTCAGGAGTTCATGATGTGTTTCATGTTTCATAGTTGAAGAAGTGTCACGCTGAGATGGCCGATATACCGCTAAGAGATACGGTGCCCTTGGAGGCGATTTAGTTTCATGACATGTATTCACACACGACGTGCAGTCATGTTACTAAGTTTCATGACATGTATTCAACCAGTAACATGAAGTCATGTTACTGGACCATGATGAACCTGCGAACTATGAGGAAGCGATGATGAACCTAGATTCCGCGAAATGGCTTGAGGCCATGAAATCTAAGATGGGATCCATGTATGAGAATAAAGTGTGGACTTTGGTTGACTTGCCCGATGATCAGCAAGCCATAAAGAATAAATGGATCTTCAAGAAGAAGACTGACGCTAACGGTAATGTTATTGTCTACAAAGCTCGACTTGTTGCGAAAGGTTTTCGACAAGTTCAAGGAGTTGACTACGATGAGACCTTCTCACCCGTAGTGATGCTTAAGTCTGTCCGAATCATGTTAGCAAGTGTCACATTTTATGATTATGAAATTTGGAAAATGGATGTCAAAACTGCATTCCTTAATGGATTTCTTAAAGAAGAGTTGTATATGATGCAACCAGAAGGTTTTGTCAATCCTAAAGGTGCTAACAAAGTGTGCAAGCTCCAGCAATCCATTTATGGACTGGTGCAAGCATCTTGGAGTTGGAATATACACTTTGATAGTGTGATCAAAGCATATGATTTTATACAAACTTTTGGAGAAGCCTGTATTTACTAGAAAGTGAGTGGGAGCTTTGTAGCATTTCTAATATTATATGTGGATGACATATTGTTGATTGGAAATAATACAAAATTCCTGGATAGCATAAAAGGATACTTGAATAAGATTTTTTCAATGAAAGACCTCAGTGAAGCTGCTTATATACTAGGCATCAAGATCTATAGAGATAGATCCAGATGCTTAATTGGACTTTCACAAAGCACATACCTTGATAATGTTTTGAAGAAGTTCAAAATGGATCAGTCACAGAAAGGGTTCTTGCATGTGTTACAAGGTGTGAAGTTGAGTCAGACTCAATGCCCGACCACTGCAGAAGATAAAGAGAAAATGAAAGTCATTCCCTATGCCTCAGCCATAGGTTCTACCATGTATGCAATGCTGTGTACCAGACCTGATGTGTGCCTTGCTATAAGTTTAGTAGAGAGGTACCAAAGTAATCCAGGAGTGGATCACTGGACAGCGGTTAAGAACATCCTGAAATACCTGAAAAGGACTAAGGATATGTTTCTCGTTTATGGAGGTGACAAAGAGCTTGTCGTAAATGGTTATGTCGATGCAAGGTTTGATACTGATCCGGATGACTCTAAGTCACAAACCGGATACGTATTTATATTGAATGGTGGAGTTGTAAGTTGGTGCAGTTCCAAGCAAAGCATTTTGGCGGGATCTATGTGTGAAGCGGAGTACATAGCTGCTTCGGAAGCAACAAATGAAGGAGTCTGGATGAAGGAGTTCATATCCAATCTAGGTGTAATACCTAGTGCATCGGGTCCAATGAAAATCTTTTATGACAATACTGGAGCAATTGCCTTGGCGAAGAAATCCAGATTTCACAAGAAAACCAAACACATCAAGAAATGCTTCAATTCCATCTGCGATCAAGTCAAGGAGGGAGACATAGAGATTTGCAAAATACATATGGATCTGAGTGTTGCAGACCCATTGCCTAAGCCTCTTCCACGAGAAAAATATGATCAGCACCAAGACTCCATGGGTGTAAGAATCATTACTATGTAATCTAGATTATTGACTCTAGTGCAAGTGGGAGACTGAAGGAAATATGCTCTGAAGGCAATAATAAAGTTGTTACTTATATTTCCTTATATCATGGTAAATGTTTATTATTCATGCTAGAATTGTATTAACCGAAAACTTAATACATGTGTGAATACATATCAACCAAGGGCACCGTATCAACTCTCATTTCGTTTCTTGTTTCATGACATATCAACCAATAAGAGATGTGGGTCGTGCATGCTTTCAATGAGACTATCAAACATGACATGCAGTAGTTAGTTCATTGCATGCAATGCTATTAATTAGCAAAAAAACATTAAGTTCTCTCGTTTTTCCCTCCGCCTTGGTCGCGGTGCACAATCTAAGATGACTTATACACCTGGACAGAGGGAGTATCATAGATGACCTTATTTATGGTCATACATGACACAAAGTAATATATCATTTATTATGTTACGGTATCTACCTATGTTACTCTAATCCTCTCTTTTTTAATTCACCGTCACATTATCATGTTTGCTATTTTCGAGTGCATGATACCGGCTATGATACCCCACTATGGGAGACCCCCATCCCTTTTAAAAAATGACGGCAATAGCTGGTGAACGGTCACCAGCAGGGATGCCATTTGTGAATGCTAGCGGGTGTCATTTTTTTTGTTTACGGGGTAATATCTTGCGAAAACTGTCATCGTCTAATCTGGATCTAACGGCTCTGGGGGCGTTCCCTGGGATCTCGCCCCCGGCGAACGCTCGCCAGATAGCATTTCCCTTAATAACCCCGAGCAGGCGAACACCCGTCATCTCTTCTGTAGAAAAAAAAGAACCCTGTAAAATCTGCCCTCGAGATGCCCCACCTCGCCGCACCTGCCTCTCCGCCGCCGGCTCCAAACCTTATGTCCGACGCTCGCGAGGCTGCCTCCTCCTCGCCGCCGTCCGAAAGGGGGCGGAGGAAAGCGGTGGTGGTTGTTATGGGCGCGACGGGCGCCGGAAAGTCCCGGCTTGCCGTTGACCTCGCGAGGCACTTTGCCGGCGTCGAGGTGGTCAGCGCCGACTCCATGCAGGTCTACCGAGGTCTCGATGTCCTTACTAACAAGGTCTCCCTCGATGAGCAGAACGGTCTCTCCTCTCGAACACTCCAAGTGTCCCTCCTTGTATATATTTTTTCTTCAAAAGGAAATTCAGTTCCGTTCAGTTTGAGCTGAGTGACGGTATATTTGACGTGTCTGCAGGTGTTCCTCACCATCTCCTTAGCATCGTCGATCCTTCCGTGGAGTTCACTTGCCTGTAAGCTTACATCTGATGTTACTGATGCAACTTTGTTTCAGTCTTCTAGACTTCCAACTGAGTTACCGCCATGTTCATTCTGAATGGCCGCAGATTATAGAAGATATATTGGATCGTGGCGGCCTGCCTGTTGTTGTTGGTGGCACAAACTTCTATATACAGGTCCATAGTTCAACACTTGTCGATTTCCATATCAGGAGTTATTCACACATGTTCATAGTTCAATTCTGGTCGATATGCTTATCTTAAGTTAATTGTGTATCTGATTTACATTTTTGCGGGCTCTTACGATGGCCTTAGGCTCTTGTTAGTCCATTCCTCTTTGAGGATATGTCAGAAGATATGCAGGGTTGCACTTTAAGTGACCAACTTGATGATATAGGTGAATACTGAAACCATAACAGTTGCTCCTTATTCATCGTGTGCCTGTGCTGTATTCATGTTTTATTTATTTGCCTATTATATCTTAAATGCGCTATTCAGGCCTTGCCACGGATGATGTTAGAAGTGGGTATGAACACTTGAAGGAGATTGATCCTATTGCGGCACAAAGGATCCACCCGAACAACCATCGAAAAGTAAGGGTGCTGCACATTCCTACCATCTCCTGGTCACTTAGCCAGTCATTCTTCATCTGTAGCATGCTCTCACTTTCCTCATGGCATTCCCCTATTGAACTTATTTTATTTGTTTGATTTGCTGTATTGAACAGATAAAACGTTACCTTGAGTTATATGCAACCACAGGTGCACTACCAAGCGATCTTTTCCAAGGAGAAGCTGCAGAAGTGAGGAATTTTTGTATTTTCTTTGATTAATCATTCAATATATATGCCATGAATATGAAATACTAACTGCTAGAACACATTTTTCGTGCATGAGGTTAGATTTTCTTGTTTCAATATGGATTGTCCTAAACAAGATTTTTTGCTGTCAGGACAAGTGGGGACGGCCTACTAGCTCCAGATTTGACTGTTGTTTCCTGTGGGTAGACGCCGAGCTTCATGTTCTGGATAATTATGTCAATGAAAGAGTCGATTGCATGATTAATGCTGGCCTGCTTGATGAAGTGCGCAACATATATAATCCAGGTGCCGTTTATACCCAAGGTCTGCGGCAGGCCATTGGGGTTCGTGAATTTGATGAGTTTTTCAGATTATATTTTACAAAGAAAGAACCTGATGAGATAAAAGCTGGTATGCTTGATCTCCATGATGATAAGCTGAAAAGCTTGTTGGATGAAGCTGTCTCTCAGCTAAAAGCAAACACACGAAGACTTGTTCGACTCCAAGTAAACATTCCCTCTGTATCTTTATCCTTACATTTTTTAGACGGTCTGAGAAAATAATCAGTACTAGACTGCAAATCTTTGTCGCAGAGACGGAGGCTACACCAGCTGAATAAAGACTTCGGGTGGAATTTGCATCACATTGATGCAACAGAAGCATTCCAATGTAAGTCCATTTGTATGTATTAGCCCAGAGTGTTGAATTGGCCTGCTTTGATGTGTTCTTTTCCTTCATATGTAGTAATGTATATTTTACTAGGTACCACTGGTGACTCGTGGCACGTCAAGGTTATAAAACCTTGCGCAGATACTGTCAGAAGATTCTTGTCTAACGATACAACTTTGGCAAGTAAAGATTCTACGAATGATGGTGGTGGAACTAGGTTGGCCTCAAGAGAGTTATGGACTCAATATGTTTGCGAGGTGATGTTTTTTATTTAATGTTCTTATTACGAGGTGGTTCTGGTTATGCTTTGGTTGTCCTATGATAATTGGTTGAAGTATCTGATGCTTGCCTTTTGTCATTTCCCTCGATGTATTAGTTAATAAAAAACATGGATCTGACAACTTCTACCCTTTCTGAATTGTGTTATAGGCCTGCGACAACCGGGTCCTTCGAGGGGCACACGAATGGGAACAGCACAAGCAAGGCCGAGGCCACCGGAAAAGAACACAGCGTTTGAAGCGGAAGAGTAAGATCAAGAGTACATCGTCTGAAGCAGAAGTATAACCATATGAACATCAGTTGTAGTTTCGGTGTTGATGGACCACCATTTAGATTGGTTTTGAGTCTTATGGAGGAGACTGGGGAAGGGGATCGATAAGGACACGGATCCAAACACTAGTTCTGATCTTTAAAGGTGTGTTTGTATGCTGCCTGACTTCATATCGCAGCAAACTCGAGTTCGTCTTAATTTATGCCCATTCTGAACATGTCTTCTAATTGTTCATGGAGCTAGTGAATATCGTCAGAGTGAATTTAAAAGCAATCAGCAGTAGACCGAAAACTAAACCGATGAAAAAACAAAAGGTAAATCGACGGAACATTAGAATTAATGCAGATCATAATATTTTAGATCCAAGACGAATCCAACGGGAAAATCAGTGAAGCTAGCAAAGCAGCAGTCGAGCGCCTCCAACTACATTCACGCTCTGTCTTCTCGGCGGTCCAGACGGTTTTATAATGACAAAGTCGGCTTAAATTTGACTTATACTCCCTCCGTTCCTAAATATTTGTCTTTTTAGACATTTCAAATGACTACTACATACGAATGTATGTAGACATATTTTAAAGTGTAGATTCACTCATTTTGCTCCGTATGTAGTCACTTGTTAAAATACCTAGAAAGACAAATATTTAGGAACGAAGGGAGTATTAGCCAAAAAGGCACTTATTTTTATGTTTGGTTTTCGCCTTTGCTTACACCTTAATGTGACAATATCCACTCAAAAGTCAAAATCACAAAAGACGTGTTTTTTTTTCTTATAAACCGAACTTCAGAAATCAAGGAAGCAAAGGGGGCGAGCGACGCTGTAGAAAAGGACTTGATATACTCCCTTCGTCTCGATGTATAAGTCATTCGTGTAGTTCTAGGTCATCGATTTGAGAAATTAAATATATGTTAATGTCATGAAAAGTATATCACTAGATTTCTATACTCATGTAGTTTCTAAACATATATTTTTTGTTACATATAATACATATTTATATAGTTAAATTGTTGATCTAGAATTATGCGAATAACTTATACACCGAGACGGAGATAGTAGGTTGGCGAGGACGATGCGTCGTATGTTGGCATCGGCAGCCGAGGCCGTGTAAGAGGGAGAGGACGATAGCTGAGGGTCCGAGGACGTGTAAGAGGGTGAGGACAACGGCGAATCATTTGCGATGTGGTAGAGCGCAACAATAAAGGTCTCCGGCACCAGCAATGGAGGAGGAGTTAGGCTGCACCATTGTTCTCTATTTTTCTTAGGAGATAGGAAAAATTAACACACACACAACAGGATCGTGTTGAAAGCCAAACGACCAGAATATAAGTCCACCAGAGTATTTCCAGCCCACCAGAGTTCATTCTAGGTTTCCACTGCATGGGTCAGGTATAGGAGTTCCCTCATCCCACCAATTCTAGGTTGGGAAACGTTTGTGCGCCGGCCGAAGCTTCGGCCGGTCGCACGCGCTCCACTCGATCGAGCAGGGATCGAGGGCACACACATCTCCCAGTCCAGGTTCGGTGTCTTTCGTTTTCCCTCCTTGGCCTACCACGTGCCTTTGGCCCATGACCCTTTTTTTCTCAGCCTTCATATTTATCTTCTTCCCCATGTCATCTTCAAGATCCATGTTCACCGCTGCTGACTGAAGCTCCGACAGGCATGGGGAAAGAAGCTGCAACTGCAGCCCCGCGAAGCTGCATCCGTTTTTGTTGGTGATGTGACCGTGGCGACCATGGCCATGCCCACGCCATCATGGAGCTGCAAGCTCAAAGGAAGCGGGTGCTGCATGCTGCGACTGTGGTCGTTGCATGCTGGAACCAGCGGCATTTTTTTCTACATCCACTAACGGTGGAACTACGACCTGTTGCTGCAACCATTATCGGATTTTGCTACGACCGGCTAAGAAATTTGCTACATCATTAATGGCGAAGATGCAACTCGGGACGGCGGCGACGACGTTTTTGCTGCAGCCCTTGCTGTTTTTTGCTACAACCTGCGATTTTTTTGCTACATCCATTTAAATGGAGTTCATCGGAAGCTGTCGTGCGTTCAACCCAGTGCAAGCGAACGTCAACGGGTGAAAAAATGCTTCAACCACCAGGAGAAAAAGCTTCAACCAGCAAGAGAAAAAGCTTCAACTGGGATGCGAGCGGCGGCACTGAGTGCTGCGGCCGGAGGCACGGTGGTGCGGCGACGGGCGTGATACGATAGCGGCAGCTAGGTGCTGCAACGACAGATACGCCAGACGTTTTGCTACGACGGCGTGACATCTTGCTGGAACCAGCGAGGACGGGGATGCGATGACGACCTCCAGTGACGAGGGCGGCGTCCTGTGGAACTGACGGGAGTCAGCCGGCGGCGACGAGGGCGGCGGCCGACGGAGACGTGGAAGGCCGGCGAGCTGGCTGTCGTATTGGGGATCACAGGAACTCTCAGGACGAACAGGCGCCATGTTTTTTATTTGTAGCGAAGCAGTTGGGGAAGAGGAATCGAGCGGCTGTTATAGATCAAATCGTACGTGCGTGGTTAGGCCGGCCGAAATTTCGTCCGGCGGACCGGCGTGTATCACTTGCCTTCTAGGTTTTTCCCCATCTGTTTTGTCTGTATGTTGCGTTTGTACTATGTTTAAAAAAGAATATAAGTCTGATGGGCTTGCGGCCCACAAAACGTCCCACACAACATCTCTTCTCTCAAAAATAAAAGAACAAGTTCAATCAGCAGTTCCTATTTCGCACAGGATAGTGACCTACTGCGCAGCCTCTTGTACGCCATGTTTTCTGTATGGGCCGGCCCATTCTAGGTTTTTACCCACCTCTTTTGAGAAGGTTGTAGAACCTTCCATGAGCCAGGTTTTTTTAGAAAAACATCACACTTTATTTCATTGAATAATGTTTAAAGGGACACAAATGTGATCCGGTGGATCAATAAGCCACACATGTCTACCAATACAAAGTGTAGTGGATGATCTAGCTAATTTGTGTGCCTCATCATTACTTGCGCGGTGTTCATGGACAAACTCATAACTCTGTAGTCTCGTCTTTCTATCATCAATCTCTCAAAGGATCATGCAGTACTCGCCTAAGTTCCGCTCGCTCTTTAGGTTGTTTATGACTCTCAGACAGTCAGATGCAATGCGTGCTTTTGAGACGGCCAGGTCCTCCGCAAGAGCTAAAGCTTCTCTACACGCGCACGCCTCCAGAGTAGCAAGTTCTGTCACACCTTGAAATACTACCGCGGACGCCCCCAGGAATATGCCACAGTCACTTCAACAGACCACACCAACCTCCCCAATGCTCGGCGGTAACCATTCTGTACCTCGCAAGCTAGGTGTTGTGTTTGTTATACATCCGGTTCGTTGCTTGGGTAGTTCATGTATCTCTTGCAAGTATCGCTCAATAAATAAATGTGTCGACAATGGACTCTGGAACTCGTGTTCATAGATAGCCCTTCTTCTTGCCCACTAGATTGTCCATAGTGTGGCTAGGACAGAGATGAATTTATCCTTGCTCAATGTATCACGCAGACTGAAAAGCCAAAACTTGGGGTCCAGTGTCTCGTCGCCATAGACCAGGAGTAGTGCATCATCATCCCGGAGTGACCACACTCCTTTGGCCATGTTACAGTTGAGGAGAGCATGCCTCCATGAGTCGACAACTGCCAAACAGATCGGACAGGTTGCATCTTCTGTCATATGCCTCCTCACCCGTTCTTGGCCCGTCGGGGGAGACGCCCGGGCCAATCGCCTCCAAGTTTGGCAGGCACCTGTACCCCCCACAGCTTCTTCCATTCTTTCTCTTGTTTCAACGTATCCGAGTTCTCTGTTTGTCCCGTTAACCATGCTTCCGTCTATACTTTGTCTCTACAACCATCCTGTAGCATGATCGGACTGAGAAAAGGCCCGACCTTTAATACCGTCAAGCATAGAAGTCCGGCTGTGTTTTGTAGCTGATTGGAATTTGCCTATCGGTTTTTCTTTTCCTTTTGTTTTGTTCGCATGTTTTTTCTTTCCTTTTATCTTTTTCGCATTTTCCCCCTCTTCTTCTTTCCTTTTACTTTTTCATTTTTTCTTCTTAATTTTGTGAAGATTTTTTAAAATTTGTGAGCATTTTTATTGAATTCGTTAACAATTTTTGAATTCATGGACATTTTTCCAAATATGAGAACGTTTTTTAATATTCACACATATTTTTAAAAATTCACGGAAACTTTTTAAAACTTTCTAACATTTATTGAAATTCATGAATATTTTTTAAAATTCGGATCATTTTATGAATGCAAGGAAATTTTGAAAATTCGAGAATATACTTTTCAAATTTAAGAGAATTTTTTCAATTTGAGAACAAATTTTGGACTCACAAACAGTTTTTGAATTTTGGATTTTTTTTAAAACTTAATTGATATTTTTCAAATAAAGGAATTTTTTTAAATCTCGAAGATTTTTATAAAGAAGCTAAAAAAGAAAAAAACAGAAAATAAAAATAACAAACAAAAATAAACGAAAAAATTTAGGGAAGCCTGCCACATACCTGGGCCGGCCCAAGTTCGCGTGAGGGGCGCGGCCTCGCTTTCCACCGCACGGTTGGGAAATAGGAGTCCCGGTCCGAGCCGGCTACCTATCATTGTAGGATTGTCTAAAAAAACCCTATCATTGTAGGAGATTCTCAAAAAAAAAAGAAGACCTAGGATATGTACGCAGGTTAGATCTAGAAATACGACGTACAGATACGACCGACCTAGACAATTACAAATACCTAGGTCCGGATCTAGAAATACGTAGATACTGGAATCACATACGTACCCCGGCTTTCCCTTTCGTTTCGAAGCTCTCGCGTTGGCAGCAAGGTGATCGGCGGAACGCGAAGATCAAATCGAGTAAGTCGCCTTCTTCTTCCCCCGTCGATCGAATTAGGGTTCGTGCTTTTCGTCCCCTTTCCTGCTTCCTTGGTCTTTGGTCTCTGTTCTTGACAGGGCAAGATCAAGATGGCCGCGGTTCTTCCTGCGCTGCTGCCAACCCCA